GCTGGCTTGCATCCATAGATGCTTCTCAAGCAAATCCTGGGACGTCATTCTTCCCTTGTACTCGGCCTTAGTGAGGCCGCAGCTGGAGTACTGCGTCCACTTTTGGGCTCCACAGTTCAAAAAGGATGTGGAGAAGCTTGAGAGAGTCCAGAGAAGAGCCATGCGCATGATCAGAGGTTAGGGAAGCAGACCCTACGATGACAGGCTGAGAGCCCTGGGGCTCTTTAGCCTGGATAAGCACAGGCTCAGGGGTGATCTGATGGCCACCTATAAGTTTATCAGGGGTGACCACCAGTATCTGGGGGAACGTTTGTTCACCAGAGCGCCCCAAGGGATGACGACTAGGTCAAATGGTCATAAACTACTACGAGACCGTTTCAGGCTGGACATAAGGAAGAATTTCTTTACTGTCCGAGCCCCCAAGGTCTGGAACAGCCTGCCAGTGGAGGTGGTTCAAGCGCCTACATTGAACACCTTCAAGAGCAAACTGGATGCTTATCTTGCTGGGATCCTATGACCCCAGCTGACTTCCTGCCCTTTGGGCAGGGGGCTGGACTCGATGATCTTCTGAGGTCCCTTCCAGCCCTAATGTCTATGAAATCTATGAAACTCAGAGGTAAGAGTGCAACAGGGCCATTTCATTTAGTCTATCACAGGGGTGCTCAACCTCTCTCTTGTGGGCCTAATTTGGTCCACAGAGTGATATGATCTGATCCACAGGGCTCCCCAAAGTTCCAGAAATTCAATGGTGTGGGAGTCTACCCTGCTGCCAAATTTCCAAGCCCTGTCGGTTAGATTGTCTGGCCATGTACATAGAATCTAACTGGCATGTGTGGAACTGGGGCTGGGTTTCATGCTGGGGCAGTGGCCTGATCCACCATATCTGCATATGGGACCAGGGCAGCAGGCCTGATTCAGTGCATGTAGGTCCAGGCCTGTGGGCCAGATCCAGTATGCACAGCACTTCGCCTGGGGCTAGAGCCTGGATAGCAGGCCTGCCAGGGGAAGGATTGGGGAGGCATTCACAGATTGTATCCCAGCTCAATGCACAGCAGAATGGGCCCAAGGACTGTACCACTCTTTCAGCCCACAGGACTGAAAGTTTGAGCACCACTGGTCTACTGATGATAATTTATTACTTAATACCTTTAAACATGGCCAGATATGCCATTCACTAAAAGAATCAGTAGTAAGAAGAAGAATAAATTGTTTAGTTTACATTACAGAACTTAAACTGCAGATGTAGCAAAAATTAAACTACAGATGTAACAAAAGATACCCAAAGTCAATGTGAAAACTTAATGGGTTGGGTTTTTTTCAGTTGAGCACTCAAAATTTAAGAAGCATCAAAATTTGAGTTGTCTCTGCAACCTTAAATCATTCACTTCTGCATATGTATAATGATAGTCTTTAGTTCCAAAATCACATGCTTTGATATATTGGCAGCCTAAGGGCCAAAAGGGGAGCACATAAAAAGTGGAAACAGGGAGAGATCACCAAAGATGAATATACCTCCTCTGCTCGCGCTTGTAGGGAGGCAGTTAGACGGGCCAAAGCTACCATGGAGCTGAGGATGGCATCCCAAGTAAAGGACAACAAGAAATTGTTCATTAGATATATAGGGAGTAAAAGGAAGGCCCAGGGAGGAATAGAACCCCTGTTAAATGGGCAGAAGCAGTTGGTGATGGACAGGGGGGACAAGGCTGAACTCCTCAACGAGTTCTTTGCCTCAGTGTTCCTAAGAGAGGGGCAGGACAAGTCTCTCACTGGGGTTGTAGAGAGGCAGCAGCAAGGCACCAGACTACCATGTGTAGACCCTGAGATCGTGCAGAGTCTCTTGGAAGAACTGGATGCCTTTAAGTCGGCAGGCCTGGATGAGCTCCATCTGAGGGTATTGAAGGCACTGGTTGACATCATTGCACAGCCACTGGCAGGAATATTTGAACGCTTGTGGCGCACGGGCCAAGTCCCGGAGGATTGGAAAAGGGCCAATGTGGTCCCCATTTTCAAGAAGGTGAGGAAGGAGGACCCGGGCAACTATAGGCCAGTCAATCTCACCTCTATCCTTGGCAAAGTCTTTGAAAAAATTATCAAGGCTCACAT